CTGAAGAATACACTAAAGGAACTTATTCCACCACTGGTAGCTATATTGTTTTAGTAAAAAAACACAAAACAGGGCGAAAGTACGGTCCTTGTCAAATTATAATAAATCCTAATTTAAAATCTTTATGTGATTCTTATCATTGCATTGTAAGAAAAGGTGTGCCTGGTACTAAATCTGGAAATTTCTTTATAACATGGTCTGGGTGCAACCTTAGTTCAGGAGATATTTCAAAGCAGTTGAACTCTTTTTTATTAAAATGTTTACCTGATAAGGAAAATGTAAGAAATACATGTGCGACTTTAATACGCAAATCTCTTTTGACATATATATATGACAACCATCCTGATATGAAGGCTGATCTTGCATCTTTAATGAAGCACAAATCAGAGACAGGAGAGAGATGGTATTATTTAAATAATAAAAAGAAAAAAAATTGCCAAACTTCAGAGATGGTAACAAAAATTATGTTTGATTCATCTCCAAAAAACTCCCCAAACAAGTTGGTCAATGAAGCTGTTAACAAAGTTGAAGATGATTTTGGTACAATGTGTGATAAAGAATACAACTTAAGAACATTTAGGAAATATTTAGAAAATAATTCTAGTTCCACTAGTGCAAGTGATAGTGATTATGAAACAGAAAATTTAAAAAGCATACCTTCAGCAAAAAGTAGACCATGGAATGAGAATGAAATAAAGGAGCTTTCATTATTATTTGGTGATTATGACTTATCATGCGTTACACTTAAAGTGATAAGTGAAAATGTATCTTTCAGTGATATTCTTAAACATCGGTCCACAAAACAAATTTATGACAAATTACGTCATATAGCAAAAAAACAAATGCATAGTAACACAGAATCTGTTGCTTCTATTAAACGAAAAAGTTCTTTTTCGAATGATGAAACAGATTTAATACGTTTTTTATTTGCTAATGAAATTGTTGGAAAATCGATTATTTCAGAAGAAAAGCTAATGCAAACTTTAAACAATAACCAGGAAACCAAAAAAATTGTGGATGGGTACACCTCTGCTCAATTGGTGGCAAAGGTAAGATATGAAAGAAGCAGACTAACCATGCGCAAAAAAAAAACCTTTTAAACATCATATAAATCATCATTCAAATTGTAAAATAATTTTGTCGTTGGGTTTTAGAGTTTTTGATTTTATTTAGTAGATTTGACTTTATTTAGTATATTTTTTATTTAGTTACATTTATTTTTTACAAGGATTTTTAGTTTTTTGAATAACTAAAGTTTTAGAGTTTTTGAGGTCGTTTTAAGTGAGTTATGTAAGTTAGGAGTATTATAAGATTTCAAAATAAACTCAAAGAATAACCTTTTAAAATGATTCAGTTCATCATTTTAGTATGATTTTTTCTGTTGAGATTTTGATTGATGTTGAGTTTTAATGGATTTTTGTTACAGTTGAAGTTTTTACAGTTTTTTGTACAGATTTTAAGTCATTCAATTTTTAGTTGTTTTGTCTTTTTATCCTACAGTTTTTAATATTTTATAAGTTCTCCTTAATTTTTGAGTTTCAGAAAGTTTTCCAGCTACTTTAAAACTTTTAACTTTTATAAAATCTTGAAATTGTTTTGATTATATTTTTAGATATAGATAAAATTTTGGTGGTTGTTTCTTTGATTGTAAATTTTTGACATAATTTTCGAATTCTAAAAAATATAATTTATGGTTTAAGTCAACTTAATAAAATGAGATGGCTGAGTGTTGGGCCGAAATATCGATTTCGGCTAAGTCTTTTCTAATAAACCGGCTAACTAATGAATAGAATATACATTAGTTAGCTGGCTAGATACGATTAGATACTAGCTGACTAGTGAATATAATATTCTTTAGGTAGGTAATAGTTTTTATATTCCTTAATATTTAAATTTTATTTTTGTTAATATTTTTATTAAAATTCGTTCTTTTAATTTTTACAATGATGTTTTTATTAAGAATATTAAGCATTTAATTATATTAAGTATTTAATAATGTGTTCTTTTTTTTATGTAATAAAATTATTTCAAAAATCATGTGCGAGTGGTTATAATGTGCATCTTATAATTTCCTTATTGGTTTAAAGAAAGTGAGAACAGCGAAGATTGAATTAAATAAGAAGAGCTAGACATGCTGCAAAGTCAAAGAACGATTTTGTTTCTTGAAAAAATGTTACTCCACGTTTTCAATTTTGAAATAAATTTTTATTAAAATAAAGTCGTTTTTTTAATTTGGAATAACTTCATAGTCTTGAACGTTATATTGCAATATAATTTAGCAAATGTTATTATTTTATATTTATATACTTATATAAAACGCCCTCATTTTTGTGTCGAACATACCCGTAGTAGACATAACTTTAGACCTAACTACTTATCAAAATTGATATAAAAAACAAAACTTTTATCAGAGGATCTTTTAGAGGCTACAAGTCGAATATTTGCAGAGAATGACAATACACAAACCACTGATCTCAAAATATAACTCAAAACTGGTCTTAAAATATATGTTTTTGTAAAACATTGATCTCAAAATATAACATATATTTTGAGTTATATTTCGGTGATTATATTTCAGTTATGAGTTATATTTCGTATTATAGATCAGTGACATAAACCTACAGAAGTTTTATTTTTGTACCAAGTTATCTAGTAAACCAAAATAAAGTTGGCTAAACATTGCAAAATTTAGTAAAATAAAAAAACCATCATAAAATGTTCTATTTTATTTTTTGTTAGTGTACTTTTATCACTTTCTTTTAAGTATTAAATGACATTTTTCACCCAACCGTTTAATTACTATAAAATAGTTATCAAATCAGATCTAAAATAATTTGCAAGGTAAAAAAAAAAAACAAATTTAAGAACGTATACGGTGTTCTATAATATTTACGATTCCGAAAAATTAACATGAAAGATTTTCTTATTGTCGACAAAATGTTCAACACTTTTTGCATGCTTTATTACCATGCAATACCGAGATTAAAGTTCATATTATAGATATGCATACTTCAGAAATATAGCAAATAAACTATGCTTATAAGTTTATCCCTGACATCAAGGTTGTTGTATAAGGCTTATTTTCCATTTATATATTAGGACTCAAGGTAAAATCAAGTTGTCGCTAATAGCTTTATGAAGACAGTATTAGCCATACCAGCCGACGGTATATAAATCCGCAATATCACCTTTACCTAAATATAAGCATCAAAAATTAAAAAAATTCATTTTTTGTGCAGCAACACAAAAACATGTTCCACTAACTAAATTTAAAAACTAAATTTCAGTCTATGATCTATTTTTAAAGCCAAAGTGCATCAATCCCCAAAATAAAACAGGATAAATTAAATTTAGATTCTACTCTCTATAATCATATCTAAAAAATAGTAAATATGAACATGGTTAAGTTATTTTAGTTATTACTTAAGTCTAAAATATTTCACAACAGCATACTGTAGTACTTATCGTTCCTTTTCAAAAACGCATTCACTAAGAGTAAAAATTTTAAATATATCAGTAACGTCAAGTTAAAAACAGTGATTAAAAACAAGTCAAGTTAAAACAGTGGTTGATATTGGTAGGGTTTAAAAGCTATTTTGCCCTCTCCTCCCTCCCCCCAGCGTTGCTAATATAAAGAGTATAGATAATTTTATGTTTGAGATAAGGTGTGACAAAGATAAAAGTAAATAAAAACGGAGGAAAACGTTTAATATCTATAATGCGTTTTCATATAGCCAATTTTTACTGTATAAAAAAAAAAAATGCTAATTTTCTACGAATTCAAACAATGACTATGTTAGGCTCTCTCAGAGGTAAGGGCAGCGAGGCTTTGGCAACTTTCATTACGCTATTTGCTTAAAAACATAAAATGCAATAAGTTTGGAAAATAAAATTAAAAACTGTTTTATAATTTTAAGAAACAATTACTATATTTGTTACTTAAAAAGTTTTGGTTCATTTTTTTGAACCATAAAACACAAATTTCAAATAAAATAAATTTTCTTTTTTTTAACATCAAGACCTTTTCTTGGACAGCAATGATAAGAAAAATATCGTTCTAAAAAATTCTTTCAAAGCTATTATGAAAAAGCGACTTAAATTGCATTTTAACTTACAAAAAAATTACATAAGTTCGGTATTGCAACATACGCATGTTCGGTAAAGCAACGCTTAGTATTTAAAACCTAAGTTCTGAAAAGCTATTTCACTTTTATTAGCAAAGTTTATACTTTTTAGACATTCGACATAGTAAATAGAACATCCATCAAAAAAAAACAAAAACTTTAAACAGTTATTAATCAACCCATCCCCGATCCCTAAACTCGTTTTTTTGAAGAAATCCAAAGTAAACTATTTGTTTAGTATTTTATAGTGTAAAGTTTAGTTGAACTCAGAAACTTTAAAACACTGTGATGATTTGTAAAACGGCAAAAATTTCAAACGTGGATATTTATCATTTATGAATGGATTTGAAGAAAATCAATTCAAAAATCATATCCGATCATCTTTTTAAGCATACCCCTGCACTAAGCCCCTATTTCGAAAGATTCGGTATTGCAACTCATTTTTTGCAGAAACTGTTATACATTTAGTTTGAAACAAATTTATGAGCCGAAAATAAAATATCTTGAAAATTTAAAACTTTTTAAGTATAATTAAAAAAAAAAAAATTATAAAAATGTTTAATCGAACGGCTACCAGCCAAAATCCTGTGAGCCGATGACCTTGTTGCAATAACGAACAGAGAACCATATACTGATGATGATGATGATGATGATGATGATGATGATGATGATGATGATGATAAATCTTTAAAAGTGTTTTTTTTTTGTATTTTAGAAAAATCGAAAAAGATTAAAAAAAAAAAAAAAAAAAAAAAGAAATAAACTAAGTGTTTCAAGACTTTATGTCGCAGTTTAGTAAACCAAAAATAAATAAAACTATATAGACTATGGTAGGATTCAAACCACAGGTTTTCTGATCAGAAGCTCAGCGAGCTAACCACGGCATTTTGACGAAAATTTCAAAAATATATAATAAATAAAAGACTTTGTAAATCGATCAAACTTAAAGAGACGTTGCCGTCGATCAAAATTTAAGAGACATATAAAAGTTGTTTAAAGTTATTTAGAAGTTGTCTAAATGTTGAAAAATTACATAATAAGATGTAAAAAAAAATATAAAAGGTGACGAAACTTAGTCAATTATCAAACACTAAAAAGAAACTTACTTTGTGAGATCGATTTTGTGGAAGTCTCTAGTATTTGATTGGAAGGCTGGAAACACTCTTTATTTAAAAAGCTATTTTATCAACAATGCTAAAGATAAAAAGTCACAGTGAGATAAAAAAAATTAGGCATTTATTCAAAAAAATATTTCTTGGCTTTTAGTGAATGATTAGAAGGAGTAGTTTCAGTAATGAAGCTCGCTAATAATCATTTTTAACGATAGACACCAGCGTGAAGGTAAGCCAAGCTGTCTATCAACACAAAACATCACAACAGAAACATTACACAATGACAAACAAAAACACCAGTGGTGTAGGCAGGACTTTTGTTGTTTTATAAGATATTTAAAACCTGTTAATGAATAAGATTATTATTATACGCTTAAAAAAATACTTTTTTAACTAATTGGCAGCTAAATTCAAGGGAGGAAAGCAAACCTTTTTAAAACATATTTGTTTTCAAGCCCCAACCACATCCATATTTTACAAATTATTTGAATTTGACAAACATGAACACAATTAAGTTTAGTTGAAAGAGTCTGAAAGTAATGAAAGAGTTTGAAAGTAATGAAATAGTCTGAAAGTAATGAAATAGTCTGAAAGTTATGAAAGTAATAAAAGAGTCTGAAAGTAATGAAAGAGTTTGAAAGTAATTAAAGAGTCTGAAAGTAATAAAAGTAATAAAAGAGTCTGAAAGTAATGAAAGAGTCTGAAAGTAATGAAAGAGTCTGAAAATAAAAGTAAAACCTGAAGCATCAAAAATCCTGCCTACGCTACTGAATAATACACTACATATGACATTTGTAAGTACACATTACACAATGTATTCAGATATTATGTGTTTCCAAAATAATTAAAAAAGCTAGACAACACAACCTAGCTCAACACTTGTAACACCGCTTGGCACTAAACGCTGCCAAGTAACACCACAATTTAGTAACACCGCTTGGCATAAAGTGCCAAGTAACACCACTAATTAGTAACACCACTTGGCTGGCAAGGATCACAATCTTGCACTACACGTTGCCAAGTAACACCACTTTTCAAACATGGAAACAACATAATATAAACTTAAACACATATAAACAAACATATACAAACACAAACATCTATATATAAGTAAAAACATATATTCACATATATAAACATATATAGCAAAGAAAAAAAACATAAACAAACTTGTCAAAATTATAAATTAAGAACATTTGTAAACACAACATTATTTGTGTAATATTTGTTAAATGACATACCTTGTAATGCATGTTTTTTAACTTTAAAAAACAAACTATTAAAAGATTTGGTTCTTGAACATGCAACAGATAATTGGCCGTGTGAAAAGCAAGGCTTTTTGAGATAAACACCAACTTTATCAAATGTTTGACCTTGACTTTTATTTATGGTCATTGAGTATGCTAACCTAACTGGAAATTGACGTTTAAGTGTAAAAGGTAAATTTGAATCTGATGGAGCTAATTGAACTCGAGGAACAAATACCCTGTTACCAGCTGATACACCTGTTAGAACCTCACCATTAATGTAATTGTTGTGTAGTGCACGCACCATCAAACGTGTTCCATTACAAAGTCCACCTTTGAGATCTAAATTTCTAAGTAGCATTATAACAGCACCAATTTTCAACTTTAGGCAATGAACAGGCATACCTGATGGAGTCAAAGTATTTAAAAACTCATTTGGAAAATTATAAATTTCATTATGATCATCAGTTTCAATGCTATCTGAACTTAAATAAGTTTTAACATCACCCGGTAATCGATGAAGGACTTCTTCATTTATTGCCAATGAATCAACATTTGTTGGTGTTAAAATAGCACGTTTTGCATAATCAGCTTCTTTTGCACCACCAAAAATCTTTTCCACAATAGATTCATTATCATTGAGAAAACACTGCTCAGGTATTTCAATACACCCTTGCAAAGGATCTTCAGGCTTGACAGGTAATGTTCCACTTCCAAGCTTTAAAAGCTATTGAGAAAATTCCTCTTCTCCTATCTGAACCCTCATATTTTCAGTTAATGAAAACCTTTGCACATATTGCCAATGTTCAGAACACTTTATACATGATTCTACAACATCTGCTGGTCGACCTCTCTTCACAACTGGAAGTATTTGTCGAAAATCTCCACCCATAAGAATAACTTTACCACCAAAAGGAAACTTATTATTACAAATATCTTGTAATAACTTATCAATGGCACTCAAAGCATGTTTAGCTATCATAGATGCTTCATCGAGTAAATATAAACTAACTTGTTTCAGGAATCTACCATGAATGGAGTTTGGAGTTACATTACATGTGCTAGTTTCCAAAATTGGAACAGGAAGTTTGAATAAGCCGTGCAATGTGCATCCATTGTTAAGAAGAGTTGCAGCTGTTCCTGTCCCTGCAGCTGTTACAGTTCAAATATGCCTGCTGCGTGTTTCAGCAATTAAATAATTGTAAGTAAATGTTTTACCACAACCGGCAGGCCCATCCATAAAGAAAAATCTTGAATGCTTATTTTCATTATTAGGTTCTTCACTAAGTGCAGCAAGGATTGCATCAGCTACAGTACGCTGATTATCGTTTAATAATGGTCTAACTCGATTTGCTTCATCAATAAATACCTGAATATCTCCATCATCATTTTCTAGGACATTATCTAATAACTGATCTAATGTAGGCAAATTATAATCAGTTAAAGTTTTACCACTCTGATTAATTATAGATTCAATTTGACGAAGAGCTGTCTGTTCAGCAAGTACAACTGTCATTGAATGGTGTATGTAATCCTCAATCATATAATCTTTAAATGTATTCCAAAGGTGTCAAGGATCATCAGGTTCACATAAAGTCAATATGATGGAAAACAGTTGCCTAATTTGTTTAGGCATTCGAGTTGCTACAGCTTCAGTTAATGTATTTCTCCATTCAATGTCATCTTGCAATAGACCTAATCGATAACATGCTTCACGAAATGTATTAAAAACAGTGCCATGAATAGTACGCAAATCCTCAAAAGACATTGCACCTTTTACATGCAAAAGCAACAATCTAAGAAAAAATACTTCACTGGTTAGATTGACTTTATACATTCGCACAATCACCTTATCACTGCCTCTTTGTCTTACTTTCCACTTGCAATTTTTACCATCAAAAACAAAGTGATACGGAATTTCAACATAAGAATACTGACGTGCTTCATTTATCTCAGCATTTAATTTAAACCAAGCGGTTAGGTGAGTGTCACGCTGTGCAGCACGATCTATAGCTACTCGTTCTTCTCCTTCGTTAAAATATACCTTCTGATTATCAGGAAGGTGGACTTAAAGGCGGATAATAGTATGTGACATATCACTTATGGAACACTCAAATATTCGCCAAAGAGCCTCTGGTGCAGAAACACTACTCTACCATTATCTAAACGCCTGTAGTGAGGATAGCCATTGAAAGTTGCAACAGTGTGAGGATTAAATTCTTTAGGAAACTTTTTTGTGCAAATCCCATCTTTCATGCAAGAAGAATTGGGATTCAAAATTCCACATGGTCCGTGAATCATACATGTTTTTATAATTTCAAAAAGTTCAGGATCAACAGTTTGATCTGGAATTTCAGCTGATATTAGACTATCAATATCCTCTGCTGTTTCTAGCTTATCATCATTTACAAAGTGCAATAAAATATGTACATGTGGCAAACCACGTTTTTGAAACTCAATAACCTGTACATGACTTATAACTTTACCTAAGACTCCGTGTTTAAAAATATCATCTAGGAAGCATTTAAGTTTCATCTTAAATACACGACAAACTAAATCAGGTCTGTCAGATGGGCTCTCACCTGGATTTAAATTTTCTGTAATTCCTTTCCATTTTGGATTGCAGGTAAAAGTAATAAAAAGATCTGGTTTGCCATATCTCTTTATAATTGCCATTGCATCTTCAAAATTTTCTTTTAAAGCTCTTGGACTTCCAACATATGAGGATGGTAGTATAACAACACGACCTGGTCTTACATTAAGGTTATTTGCAGCGTTATTTACATGTTCATATAATGTATCATATTGTTCACTTCTAAGTCTGTTTTGGTTATTTCTAATAAAAGCAAGGCGCTGACCTTCAATCTTGACATATGCATCAACAGCATACTGTTGAAAAAGCTTCTTACCATAAAATATAGTATTAAAGGTTTCTCTAACAGAAAGCCTGTAATTGTAGTACTGAGACAAAGTAACCCGATTTCTAACACGTGTAGCTCGGTCAGGATGATGCTCTAGTTGCTCATGCCATCCAGCATCACCTCTTGGAAAAAATATTGGATATATCATTGGATCTTGATTTGCAGACATACTTGAAATTGTTTTTAAGGCCTGACCTCGAGGGTATATAACTACTTCCCTAGATGGAGGTGGAGCACCATCGTCCCCAACAAAAACAATGGCAACTTCCTCGTGTGAAGGAAGATTGTATCGACGTCTATCACCACCTTCAAGCAATGACATTTTAACAATCGAAGTTGGTCGACCTTCTAAAGCTGCTTGACGTACTTCTTCATCTTCAATTTCAGCCATGTTTTTAAATGCAAGAGCAAATGGGTTCTCTTGACTAATTATAGTCTGCAAAAATTCCATCAACTCACGTATGCAACAATCATTTTGCTCCATTCGAAAATTTAAAGCAGTATTAGGATCATAAACATATAACTGACAATATGCAGGCAGAACATTTTGATCAGGTCTCAGATTACCAACACGATGCACAATTTGTCCGCAAATCCTAAAACAGGGTGGCCCATGATCAGACGGAGGAGCTATTCTTGCTGTGAATGAAGCAAAAGATAAACAGGCATTATAACTTCGAATATGCTTGAAGAAATTTTGATTCATAGCACGATCAACATGGTTGCCTGTCATTAAATCGTGCATGAGCAGTGGATAAGGCAAAAGTGGAGCTAACGCAACTTTTCCAGAATGGCAGCACAGAAAATGTGTTTCATTTAAAAAATTTTTGGCACCACAATATTGACAAATATGGTTCATATCTCCAAGGTAATTACTCACTATAAAAACATTATTTCTTGCTATGCAATGCATTCCACGTCTATGTAATACTCTCCTAGCCTGATTTCTTTCATTTTGGCGACGATTAATTTCTTCTCGCCTAGCCTGATTTCTTTCATTTTGGCGAAGATTAATTTCTTCTCGCCTTGCCTCATTTCTTTCATTTTGGCGAAGATTAATTTCTTCTCGCCTTGCCTTATTTCTTTCATTTTGGCGACGATTAAGTTCTTCTCGCCTAGCCTCATTTCTCTCATTCCGACAATTTCTTTTTATTTCAGCTCTCAAGTTATTTGACATAACTAAGAAACTATGTTTGATAAAACTTGATTTGATTAATTTTTTGTTATACTAATCTAAAATGGAAAAACATAATATGTGCATTTCTAATTATCAATATAAACTCTATAAGACTATTTATATATTTTCTAATAAAAATTATTGACCTAAAGTCTTAACTTAACTGGTTTAAAACAGAGAAAAACCTAAAAGTTAAACATAAGTTGAACCACTAAGTATTACATTTATAGTAATAAAACAAAATTTTTTAGAAATAAATTAAAATAAAGTTATAACAATTGTAACAATTTTTTAATGATAATAATAATTAAATTAAATAGTAAAACTATTTACAAATAAAAAAACGACATGCCAAATTGCAAATTGCAAATAAAACTTGTCTAACATGTAACATCATATACTTCACATGTGGCTATCTTTAATGATTACTTTTTTATAATAAAAATCTAAAGAGAATAATATAAACGTTAATATGTGTATAATGCAACAATTAGGCATATAAAACAAACAAATAGAATAAGAAAAAATTGTAGCTAAATTACAAAATATTTACTATCAAGAAATCAAAAACTATATGAAATAAATAAAAATTAATAGACAAATTATTTAACATTTAACCACATAAGACTTGTTTTGAAAGTTTAGACTCTCAAATCAGAAATAAAAATCAATAAATATAAAATTAAAAAATTAAAATATCAAAAATAAATAAAAATACTTGCAAAAATCGAAACTAAAAAACAACTTTTTTGAAACGTAAAGATATATTTACAACAAATAAATAAATTAACACAAAAAAAAAAAAAAAAACTACTGAAAAAAATTCATAATGTTTGACCTTTGGTTATTCTGCCTCCCAGCACCACTCATCCTACTGGTGGCCCCATATGGGGTCTGTCTCCTCCATCTAAAGGAGGGATCATCCCCTCCATATTGGCACCACCGGAAGAAGGCCCTCTGTGATAATGGGCCTGGGTGCTGGGAGCGATATAAAAGGAAACTCTCCCAAGATGCTAAAAAAAAGCAATAAATTTGATTACATACCATATATGCATATATATATATATATATATATATATATATATATATATATATATATATATATATATATATATATATATATATATATATATATATAAAATCTGCATAAAACGACTAACATATTAATTTTAAAAACGACTAAAATTCACTTTACCTGTTGCAACTGAAGAATGTGTTGCTGTTAAGAAAAAAATATATATTTATATAAACAATTAAATCATGTATTTATATACAAACTTCACAAATTTAATGTTTATATTTAAATACACATAACACCCATATAAATGCATAAGTGTGAAAACATGTTACCTGACACTGATGCCAATGGTGCTTCTGTGGAGGCAAAAAAAAAAAAAAAAAATTAACATATACTACAGTCATGAAACTTCAAACATAAAAAAAATTGAATGTTTATGTTTTAATACACATAACACCCACAAAACTACTTAAGTATGTAAAACACACTACCTGAAATAACTGCAAGGGGTGCTGTTGGAGAAGCGAAAAAAAAATTAAAGTTTAAATTAACACAAACCAAACATTCATAAAATTGCATACAAAAGAAAAAAATTTAATGCTAATTTAAATGCATAAAAAATTAATATGCATAAAACCTATAAAACTGTATAAGTATGCTAAACCCACTACCTGACACAACTGCCAATGGTGCTTCTGTAAAAACAAACAAAAAAAAAATTGTAATGTTCAAATTAACATATATTTAACAGGTATGAAACTGCATACAAATATTAAAAATGTAATGTTTCAGCTTGAATAATACAACACCCAAAAAATACATAAGTATGCAAAATACATTACTTGATGCAGATCCCGTTGGTGCTTCTGTGGAGGCAAAAAAAAAAATAAAATAAAAGTTAAAAAAATTAACATAAACTACAGAGTCATGAAACTTCATACAAATATAAAAAAATTGAATGTTTATGTTTCAATACATAAGTTTGCAAAACACACTACCTGAAATATTTGCCAGGGGTGCTGTTGGAGAGGCAAAAAAAAATTAAATTTTAAATTAGCACAAACCAAACATTCATAAAACTGCATAAAAAATAAAAAAATTTAATGCTTATGTTTTAATACGCATAACACCTATAAACCTGCATAAGTATGCAAAACCCACTACCTGACACAACTGCCAATGGTGCTTCTGTAAAGGCAAAAAAAAAAAATAGTAACGTTCAAATTAACATATATTTAACAGGTATGAAACTGCATACAAATATTAAAAATGTAATGTTTCAGCTTGAATAATACAACACCCAAAAAATACATAAGTATGCAAAATACATTACTTGATGCAGATCCCGTTGGTGCTTCTGTGGAGGCAAAAAAAAAAAAAAAATATTAAAAGTTAAAAAAATTAACATAAACTACAGAGTCATGAAACTTCATACAAATATAAAAAAATTGAATGTTTATGTTTCAATACATAAGTTTGCAAAACACACTACCTGAAATATTTGCCAGGGGTGCTGTTGGAGAGGCAAAAAAAAAAATTAAATTTTAAATTAGCACAAACCATAAAAAATAAAAAAATTTAATGCTTATGTTTTAATACGCATAACACCTATAAACCTGTATAAGTATGTTTCAGTTTAATACACAGATTACCCAAAAAATACATAAGTATGCAAAACACATTACTTGATATTGATCCTGTTGGTGCTTCTGTGAAGGCAAAAAAAAAATAATAATACTAATAATAATAAAGAAATGTTTTAGCTAATATAATAAAACAGAAATGTATTATAGTCGCACTTTGCATAACGGTAATCAAATTTCTATGTTATAGTTAATAAACGAAATTTATTAACTATAACATAGAAACTAACTTGCAAAGTATAAAATAAGTGTAAACCACAAAACTAAAAAGTATTTAATATTGCTTGCAGAAAACAAACGGCATCAAAATAGAAAATAAATAAAAAATTAATTTTAATTAACACATAAATCATGTAATGTTTTGTCTCTTTATATCTAATATAATATACCTCTATAACAGTACAACAAATAAAAACACAACAAACAACAATTAATCATAAAACAAAATAAAATATTTACTTACTAAGTTGTTGTAATATAAGACCTAAGGAAAGGGGTAAAAAGTTAATTAAAAGAAGCAAAAAGACCATAGAATAGACTTTTTTGGAAGTAAAATGCTATATTATTTATAAATAGTATAGCATTTTAAAAACAAATGAAATATATTCAAACTTTGATTACCAACTGAATCTTCCAAGGTTTCTAAACAAAATAAAAAAGCCTATAAACTTTAAAAAAGAAACTAACTTGCTGAATATAGAATATATATAACTTTATGAAAATTAAAAAATGTATTAATATATTTGGACTTAAAAAAAACAAAACAAATACAACAAAAAAAATTGCTGACTTAGTTTGTCCATTACTTCCGCTAAACATAACAAAAAGTTATAACTAACACATTGCAGATGGTGAAATCTAAATCTAAATTTAAATTTATTTGTATATATATATATATATATATATATATATATATATATATATATATATATATATATATATATATATATATATATATAAATGTAGCTTACATGAGGATAATTCTTTTTCACTTATCTCTTGAACATCTAATATATATTTACAAAATTTATATACTTTATATATTATATGCCATTCACTTATTCAATTCAACAAACTTTTTTATTTATTTATTTTTTAATTTTGTTAAAAATGTCCGAACTTAATTGTTTGACATTTTCACGACGCAACTGAAACTCAGAATTTAAAGAAAATGTTCGTTTTACTCCGAAACTTAGCATTTAAGATTCTAGCATGTTAAATAAAGCTTACACACGTTTTCAAGGTTCACTGTTTTACAAAAACATCAATCTAAAATAGGGTAAATAAACAACAACCAAATTTCGGGTGCATCCTTGTAAAGTCCAAAAATTATTTTAAATATTTTTTATTTAATTAAATTTTAGAACATATGCAACTGCAACCATGGCCCCCACATCTTGAAACCGGGCCCCATGCTAGAGCTCTCTGCGGGCCCCCCCCCCCCAACCCACACACACGCATACCCTTATTGCATTGCATACAATAAAAATTTTTTTTTACTTTGGCCACAATAAACTTATAAAGTTTTTTATTTAAGAAACCGCTTTTGCTTTCACAATCTAAATCATTTTTGTATTTATTTAAAGTTTTTTGCTTTTAAAAAAGATTAGGTTTTTAGATGTTTAAATGTTATTGAAAAGTTAAAAATCAAATTGTCAATTTTTCAATTTGATTTTTCAAAAAATCAAATATTTTATATGTAGTATATAGTATAATTATATTGTGGCTTACTTCTAAAAAATTCTGAAACTTCTTCGTCGCCTAAAGACATACAAATTTATCTATATATAATCTCTTGATAAAATAATAAACTAAATATTTCAACATTATTTTCGTATCATCTCTTTCTATCTCTTTAATTTATTAATTTTATATAAAATAAAAAGAATACTCTAACCTTCTGTATTTTGGCTGCTCATTTCTAAAATATAATCTTAATGTTTATTCTTGTGTCAAAAGCATAATAACTTTATTAGTTCCGAATTAAGATTAATTTTTTAAATGGATGAATAAAAGAAGTAAACTTGTAAACGATAGAGATGAAACTTACTTGTAGTTCTTTGCTGTATTGTAGTTTGCAGTTCCTTGTTGTATAATCGATTTGAATAAGGAGAGAAAGCATGGCCAAGTTTTAGTGGTTTTAGAGTACAGTTGGCGCACATATCATAATGCAAAAATCAGATAATTTTTAAATCTATTAATTGAGCTGTTTTTATTATCGGATTTGGTGGATTTAATTAGATAACCGCAAGGTAGTTTTACAGTCGTTTAAGAGTTGGCGCATATATCGAAATACAAAAATCATTTAATACTTCTATTTTATATTTGAGCATTCCTATTACCGGATTTGGCGGAACTAAAATTATGACGTAATTTTAGCATTTTTGGGTTTTCTGTTTGTGTTAAGTTTTTTTTTATTAAGTTTCAGACTATAAATTTTTTTTCATACCATCCGGTACTTGTTAGGACTCTTGCCCAGTTAATTTTTAAGAAAATTTCAGTTTGCATGTAAAACTTTTTTTCTATTAGAGAAAAAGTTGTCTCTTAAATGCGCAGACTAAACTAATTTATCCAAAACTAAAGTATCTCTACCATGACATATGCGCAACAAATTTCAAACAGTGTTCTCAGGTTTTTAGAAATTTTACACAGCGTTTTAAAAAGTTCTCTCCCTTTAGTTTGTTATAATATATAATTTCTTTATATATATGTAATGCATATAATATCTATAGGCCTTTAAAAATGTTTTACTTTGTTTTCTAGAAATTTGGAAAATATTTAAAAAAATTATGAGTGTAAGCGAAAGGATTTTAACCCAAGCGAAGCATTTCAACCACTTTGGCATGCTGTATTATCTTTTAACACTGTTACATAAACAGAAGACTTATTAAACTTTATAAAACGGCATATAAAATAAGGAGATGAAATTATAAAATAAGGAGATGAAATGCTATAAAATAAGGAGATGAAATTTTCAAGTTAAAGTAAATCTGTAAAAATTTATATTATCTACTTTATAAAAGTACTGATTACTAATTACAGAACATGAAGTTTACATGTTAGATATATACATTACCGTCATAATTACTCGAATGGTCATATTTTTTTAATATAAGATATCAAAGTTTAATTGACTATTGGGAGAAAAACTGAAAACAATAATTACCTGAATTATGTTATCTTCCTATTTATTAGGTCTACAAATAAAATCAATATAAAGTTAGTTTATAATTTACTTGCCTATTAATCACCCTTATCAACAATAACCGTCATATATATTCTTGGCATTCTACTTAACGACCAAGTCAATTCTATGTCACAAACAATAAGTTTTTTTCAAAAAAGAAATAATAACACCACTGTAAATCAATTTATTTATACATGATAACGAAACAAAATATATAAAAGTTTTATTTAAAAAAAAAATTCAACTACATCTGCATTATTAACTAACTACAAAAATACTAATTAAAGATATAGCGCAATATTTTCCCACCGCTATCTTCTCATATTTTATTTTTTACAGGATCTATACTAAGGATCCTTCTCATATTTTATTTTTTACAGGATCCTTATTAAGAAAGAAAAAGAAAAAAAAATGGCGGAGGAGAGCGAGCTTTTGCTCTAAATTCGGGCCCACAACTTATGTGCCTCGCGAACTGCAATATGCTGAAAAAGCATCGTAAGATATATCTTTGATGAAAAATTTTCATACGATAGAATTAAAAACATGTTTATATAATAATTTTTATATAATAATACTACAAATCAATTTGCCTGCTGCTATTTTTATATAGCATTTTTAAAAACGGGCAAAATTTGAAATGAAAAGGAATTAATAACAAAATTAATGAAAAAGTCAATTAAACAAAATAACGAAACATAAAAGCTATAAGTGCAAACAAATTTTGTAATTTGACTGAAACACAAAATTATTTTTACCTTGATGGCAACAGACTAAATTCTTTATAAACTATTAGCTAATGATCAACAAAGTAAATTTTAAATAATTAAAATTTACTTAGTTAAAACCATATTTAACAGTAGACCAAGTAAACTTATGATAGTTGCTAAAGTACCAAAGTAGAACTAAAGAAATAAAATAACAAAATTTAAAAAGTTTGTAATACAAAATAATTTATAATACATAAAAAAGATTAACTGCAGTTTAAAGTATTCACAAAATCTTAACTGACAATAAAATACCATCTTGCCTGGATAATCATAAACACAGTCACAGCAGCAAATCATTTCAATATTTTGCATGTTCTACTGACTAAAATTTTGATAGTGTTTAATGCAAAAACAGAATCTTTCACCAAAAATTTACTTAATATTAAAAAAAATAGAAACAAAATTTGGAATTGAAAAAAACGCAAATGTAAAATTTTTAATAAGTAAATTTTAAAAGATTCTTTTAAAATAAATTAACTTAATAAAATCTTACCTGAATATCAAACACCTCCAGACAATAACACTCTACTAAATTATTAGATTCATAAAAATACGATTGAATATCTAACACTATTTAAAACCAATAATAATAAAAAAATAATAATAAAAAACAACTTACTTATATTTAAAATAAGGTCAACATTAGCTTCTATAAAATTAACAGCCTGTCAAGATTCATCCCCTACTAAACAGACTGTTTCATTAAGTAAAGCATTAAAATCTTTAGCAACTTCAAAAACAAATTAAAAAATACATACTACATATAAATAAAAGCATAATTAAGAATTATATCATTTATATGATAATGATAATAGAATCTAAGATTTCTCAAGAAATACAAAACTTACCGCTTGCAAATCTAAAATGCCTTGTGCATAACCAGTTAATAGCGGTCTGAGTTGACTCTTTCAAAACTATAAACACAGTATAATACTATTTCGATAGTTATCTGAATTGTCATTGTTGAGCACTTGGTTTAAAATGTTTAACGGGGGCAGATATGAAACTTTAAACTTTTTTATTATCTTAAGATTAGCTTATTTTAACTTTATATCATTTTTAAAAATAACCAAGTTGGAAAAAATGATTTATTTTAAATATAAAATAAATTTTTTACTCATATTCTTAATAGAAACAACTTATTTTATCCCCCTGAATGTGTTCAAAAAAAGTTTGTCGCGGAAAGCTTTAATTTTTAAAAAGCAAAACAAAACAATTTCATAGTTCTCTTTTTATTGTGTTCTATTTTTGAATTTTTAAAAAAACCAATAAAAAATTTTAAAAAAAAAAGAAGGTTCTAACGATTGGACTCAAACCTCGATAGATATTTTAGAATGTCGTCCGCTCGGTCACACTGGCAAATATTCCTTTACTAAATACTTAGATACATATAAAACACGATTGAATATTTTACATAAAATTACATAAAACTAATTATAAAAAAAAAACTTACTTATATTCAATATAAGGTCGTCTTTAGCTTGTATAAAATTAAAAGCCAGTCAAGAATCAATACAACACCTATAAAACAGAATGTTTCATTAAGTAAAACATTAGAAATTTAAAGTTCCAAAATTTTAAAAACAGATGCAAAAATACATGCTATTTTTTTAAGTATATTCAATAATTATATTATTTATGACAACAATAATAGAAGATACAATGCCATTTCAAGAAATACAAAAATCTTACCGAGTAAACATTTGCAATGCCTCGTGCAGTTTGTTCAGATCAGTTTAAAGTGTTCGAGTTGACTCTTCCAATCACATACGGAGAATCATACTATTTTGATGGTTTTCTAAATTCTGTCATTGTTGCGCACTCGGTTTAGAATATTTAACAGGGGCGTTGTAAATTAGCTGTAAAACTCTAAATATTTTTATTACCTAAATATCGATAGTTTTAACTTTTTTTTCATTTTAAAAAATAATAAATTTAATAAAATAATTTATTTTAAATCTAAACTTAAAATTTTGAGTTATTTTTTTAATAAAAATATACTTTTAAAACCCCCTAACTGTTTTAAAAAAATTTTAGGTCGCCGCGTGGCAAGTTCATCGGCTTGCTTTTTTTTTTAAATGCACTTTATAGTTTTATAGATTTTATATTCTATATATACATGTTATATACCCATTTTTCTTGCATAATCTCAACTTAGTTGGAGAAAACTTTAAATGTAAAACTAAAATAACATGACAAATAAGCGCAACAAATTTCTCCTGTTTTTTTACGTTTTTAGAACTTTTAAGCTTTCTTTAAAAATTCTCTTCCTTTCGTTTGTTTAAGTGTAAAATACTTTTACATTTGTTAAGTATATAATCTCTATACATCTTCAAAAGTGATTAGTTTTGTATTTTAAAAAAAATCGAAAAAGATTAAAAAAAAGAGTTCCAGGACAGGAGTTGAACCCCGGCTCCCCTGATTAGTAAGTAGCTCAGCAAGCTGACCACGAAGCTACGCCGTCTTATCAATTAGTGAAATTTTTAAAAATATATACTTAACGAAAAACTTTATAAAACAGCTATCGGTCAAAATTTAAGGAGATGTCGCCGCAATGCAGTTTTCAAGTGAAAGTAAAACTTAAAAACTTGATACATGTTTTAGTATGTTTTGACATTTCGCATTTTGAAGTTTACGTAAGTTAGTTATTAGCACACACTTTCGTTAATGTTTTCTTATAAAAAGGTGCTGCGACTCTTCCTCGCCAGTACCTCGGTTGCAATGGCTGCGTTGGGTTTTATGTCAAACGTGCTCGAAAGGGTACTTCTACTATTAAGTTCAGTATTATTATATAAAGATTATATAATCAAGCGTTTTGCCAGTAAAAAACTCTTCAGATAACGGTAATTTAAAAGTTATACATATATATATATATATATATATATATATTATATATATATATATATATATATATATATATATATATATATATATATATATGAATATATATATATATATATATATATATATATATATATATATATATATATATATATATATATATATATATATATATATATATATATATATATATATATATATATATATATATATATATAATGAACTTAGGTTTAAACAAGTTACAAGTGAAAGAAAAAGTATATTTTGTAAACTATATAACCAAAAAGATATTTTTTGCAATCTATGGCTTCTAATTTTTCTAAACTTGTTGACAATGATGCTAGAAAAAGTTGCAAATTTGTTGAGAAGATAAGTAAAACTAGTGAAGGTAGATAAATGACAGTATAATAAGAGTTTTACTTTTTTTTTTTTATTTGCATGAAAAAAATAATCATTTATAATTTTTTTAATAAAATTTTTATTAAATGAAGGAAGAGCAAGGCTATTATTAGTAATGTGGCTTAAACAGAAAAGCTATTTAAGTCACACAACTATGGAACAATGATATGAAAACAGTCAAAAAAATGTTAATATGCGTTAAAAGATTTTTTAATATTGTTACATTCATGTATCTTGGATACATTCATTTATTTATTGATACATGAGTATCTGTGTGTCTATTTTTTTGATTTTATTATTTGTTTAGAATTTCAATACACTTTGTTTCAAATTTGCGTAAAAATTTTAAACGGATTTAAGATTTGCAAGCCCAAACCTTTGAAAGACATAAAAGTATTGAAGAATTGTGGAGAAAAGTGGAGATGCTGATTTTATTTTGAATAACGGCAATATGAAAAAAAAAACACTAAGTTCATTTGAGAGAGTTAATATTATTAAAAACATTTTTAAATGTTTCAAAAACGTGTTTAATTGCAAGAAATTGCAAGGTAACTTCTAATGTTCACTCGCTTTCGAGTAGCAACCCTCATTAGAATAATAATAAGGTTACTTCATAAATCATTAAATTCCAGTATTGACACTAACAAGTAAAAAAAAATAAAAACTAATACTTTGACAACATTAATATATAAATATAATTTAGCAATAAATTTTTATTTCGGCTCGTTTAATGTGTCGCAAATGGCACCCTCAATGTCGCTTGCATCATAACCAGTTTTGTCACCAACAATAGTATCTGAAGAAATAATATTAATCACAAAATTGTCTGTCAATCATAAAGCACGGTTTAGAAAACCAAACATAAACAATTAAATTTAAAAGCAAAGTAAAGAAACTTTTAAATTTGATTTCCAAAAAGTCATCAAATTAAAAGCCATCAAAATAAAAATTTATATATATATATATATATATATATATATATATATATATATATATATATATATATATATATATATATATATATATATATATATATATATATATGCATGTATATATATATATATATATATATATATATATATATATATATATATATATATATATATATATATATGTATATACATATACATATATATATATATATATATATATATATATATATATATATATATATATATATATATACATGCATATATATATATATATATATATATATATATATATATATATATATATATATATATATATACATGCATATATATATATATATATATATATATATATATATATATATACACGCATATATATATATATATATATATATATATATATATATATATATACATGCATATATATATATATATATATATATATATATATATATATATATATATATATATATATATATATATATATATATACATATGTATACAGGGGCTATTAAAGACCGCTTTCGACAGCGTCTTACTTAGGTGTCGATTAAGGAGCTTTTTTTCTTTTTTTGTTAGTTATTAAGTTTAAATACTATGATTTAAAAACTCAATCCAACTATCTAATTTTTGCACTACTTTTACTTTTAACTGTTAAGTTTTTGCATTCACATTCTAGTATGTTTTAGATTTCAAATATATAAAATTTTGTATTCAAGTATGTATGAATAGACAAATAAGTATTCATAAGTCCATTTTCTATAAGAGTACCTTTACTTTTATCCTTCTAAACGCCATATAGTATTAAAAATATATGAATAAAACTTGTAACACTTTTAAATGAATTACTTTATTAATTATTACTAATGCGTCGTTGAAAATCACCATAGGATACGGCCTTAATTCAACTGATTCTGTAGATTTCCAACTTGGCAAATTAACTAAAATAAATTGTAAACTTAAATAATTTCGTCATTTTAATAATAGTAATTTTATTTAAAAAATAGTTTGCTGTTTTTCTACAGCTGTTCAGCTATTTACTCAATTGTGTTTGAATACAGAAAATATGTGAATAGCTTTAATAGTTGTATCATTGTTTTAAGTAAAGACATTCATTGATGTATCAATCAACTAGGTCAGTTGTTTTATCTTGATAATAAACTCATATTGGCTTAATTATAAATATTATTTTTATTATATTAAATCTTATTGTATTTTATTATATAATACCAGCGAATATTTAGTCTAAAAAAGAAGTTTTTAATATATCTTTTAAACGTGTTTGACGTTTTTTATACGCTTAAAAGATGTCGTTTTTAGACCGAATGTTTACCAGGATATTACCCTATAAATTAGAAGTTACAGGTTAACAAAAATCTTTTTAACAAATTGTCTTAAAGGTTTTAACAACTTTAGTAGTATAAAGTTGAATTGAAAGCGTCACAACTTTGTTTTTTTTCAAATAATAGTTAGATTTTCTTTGAACAACTACTTTACATTTTTATAAACTTTTCGCTAATTGCTAGTCTCAGTTTATTTCAATAATACAGAGTACTAAAACAGACTTTTAGATTGCTATATCAGCTTGATTTTAAAATTAACCTTACATGTTGCTAAAACGACCTACAACTCTCAATTGGAAATAATTTTAATTTTAGTTTCTAATTTTGTAATATGATAATTGCAATTATTAGGAATAAAATGTAAATGGTATTTATATTGCAAAACATTATTTTGAAATAGAATATTTGAAATACTCTACTACATGTTTCAAGAGTATTTAAAATGTTGACATGTTTGAGTATTTGAAATGTTGACATGTTGATATGTTTCAAGAGTATTTGAAATACTCTACTGCATGTTTAAAACATGCAGTAATTAAAATGCAATAAGCTAGGCTATTTAATTACAGCAGGCCATGAAATTTCAGGCATACCAAATGTTTTTTAGTCAATAGCTGCTAATAAATTTACTAATTTTCCATTGTCTTATAAAGGCTGTTAAATTTCTTTACCTAAAAGGTTTTGCAATGGTAAATATTTTAAGTAAAAAACTGTAGAATGTTACAAAAACCATTGAAAAAAAGTATAAACTAAGTAGCTATCTGCTTCTTATGGGTAAGATGTATTTTCAAGAAGCAGTCCAATACCAAAGTGGTAAATATTGTGGTAAAGATTGAGAAACTAATCTTTATAAAAAAGTTGTTTTTGATTTCATGATTGTAGGGCTTCAAACGTTTATTCTTATGTTCTAAAATCTCACCTGAAGTTCGCATAACAGGTTTATATTTGAAAAAAAGATATCGATGAGTGTATAATTAACAGTGTTTTAATAATGTACCAATCTGAATTTAAAAGAAGAGCTGTTGTTACCGATAACTATTTTACCAATTTTAATGGATTTTCTTTGTTTCATATAGTATATGCTGGAAATAGAAAACAATTTATTTATTATCCAGTTTTTAAAAGGATAATGAACATAACAGTTATTTGATATACTTGGTTTTATAAAAAATGTTAGAAACAACTTATTAAATGCAAAAGAATGTTTTTTCATTCTTATTCATTTGACACTAAGTTAAATGCTGGTTTTTTTTTTAATGAATATGTTTCATTGATTTAATTAAAAAATGATTACTAAACAAGAACTAAAAAATGCAATAAAAATAAATTATCAAGTTTATCTTGAAAACAACAAACAAGTTATCAACTTTACGATATCAATATTTGACAAAACAACTTCAGCTGCAATATAGGTTTATTTTCGTAGAAGAAATAATGTAGCACAATTTTTATCATCGTTTTTATCATTTGCGAATTGAATTGAAATTTAAATGAATTAAAATGTGCGTTGGAGGTTTTAGTAAGTAAAATTAAATGACCAGTAAAATAAACTTTTTGTGAGTTGTTTAGAAATATATTAGTTAAAATATCTTGGCCAATGTCTGTTTCATAATATTTTTTAAAAATATATTTTGGTCTGAAAATATTTATCAAACGTTTAACAATCCTCAAAAGATATTATGCAAAATATAGCTTCCCAGACCACAAGGCAGAGGCGTAACAATAGGAGTGGGGCAGGAATCATTCGCCCCGGGCGCCGTTTTAATAATGGCGCCAAAGAGAGGAAAAAAATAATTTAAAAAAACGAATTCACAACTCAGATCCAGAGCTAACAACTGCTCAGTGACTAACAGTCAAACGACTACAAGATCCCACAATAAACTTTAAAGATGCATCATCTAATATGGAAACGTCGGAAATTATCTCAAAGAATTTCTTACTCATTTGTGCCAAAATGCAATTGAGTATCGCAAGAGCAGATGTATGGAATAGGGAATTAAAATTGAGAGGAGAGTCAGGCGAAGGCAAATAATGCCAGATGAATGTGCTGGAGATAGTGGCCTCTCTGATAAAGATGAAGTTGAAATTGATATTGGATCGTTTCCAAAAAGAACGCTTATTAAGCCGGTAGGCTTAATAAGCGTGAATTGGCATAAGTGGAAACTAGCACAAGTGCGATGTGTGGCACCAGTGCGAATTGGCATAAGTGCAAACTGTCTTAAGAGCGAAATTTAACAGTTTAACGAAACTTAACTTTAATATTTAACAATTTAACGAAAAATAACAGTTTGCGTTATTCTAATATTAGCAATTTTATTCGTCGCACTTATGCCAGTTCGCACGTTAATTCGGGAGGCTTAATAAGCGCACGTTGGCATAAGTGCCAACTAGCATAAGTGCAATACGTGGCACAAGTGTGAACTGGTATAAGTGCGAAATAACAATATGCATTATGCAAATATTTTCAATTTTATTCGGCTTACTTATGCTAATGTTTGCAAATTCTTTTGGCTCACTTACGCCAGTTTGCTCTAGTGCCAGTTTTTTTAATTGCTTTGCACTTATGCCAATTTGCATATATGCCAGTTCGTACTTACACCGTTCGCAAAATTAGCTCGATTTAATTTCAAATGTCTTGACATAGCTAAATATCGTGACTCTCTGTAAAGACAAAAAAGTAGAAAAAAATATGTAGCAAAAACATTTGATAAAAAATGTAATACTTTATAATCTTTTTTTTTCACTTAATATGATCTTTGGTATTGTGGTTTAACCTCCTCCGTCTAATTGCCATATAGAGGCCACATTACTATGGTCCGCAAAAACACGTTCGGCTCTTCAAGGAGCATCATACCCTGCTCTATGGAACGAGTGTAGGGTGTGTTTGGGAAGAACGAAGGTATGTTAGAGTGAAAGTCAGAAGTAGTCGAGTTAGAAAGAAAGCATAGAAAAAGCGCAAATAAATGCAAAACGCTCTGTTGATCAGGTTAACCTAAGTAAAGTACGCCGACAAAGTTGTAATTGGAGTTCACTTAACATAAATTCTGGTATTGTGGTTTAAGCTCCTCCGCCTAACTGCTAAATAGAGGCCACTTTACCAGGGTCCGCAACGGTTAGTTGAGCTTCCGAAGGAGCTTACCCGCTCTATGGACCGAGAGTAAGGTCAGTTTGGGAAGAATGAAGATATGTTAGAGTGAAAGATAGAAGTAATCAATTATTTTGATAGCATAGAGTAAGCAGACAGGATTGCACACGATGCTGGAGGGTGCAATACATACTGTTAGTTAGGTTACCTAACTAATGTTAGCCGACAAAGTTGTGATTTGAGTTCACATTACATGAGCTCTTCCTCAACTTTTTTTGTCGCCCATAGCCCGCTAAAAACTAACAGTTAAAACAAAAATTTACCATAAAATTGTAGGTATTGTGGTTTAACCTCCTCCGGCTAATTGCCATATAGAGGCTGCTTAACCAGGGTTTGCAAAAACTATTTGAGCTCCCAAAGGAGCGTCATACCCACTCTACGGATCAAAAGTAAGGTGAGTTCGGGAAGAACGAAGATATTTTAGAGTGAAAGATAGAAGTAGTCGAGTTAGCCCTTTTGTGACGCGTGACCCGTATGGCGGTTCATAAAATTTGTATCTAAATGACGAGTGACCCGTATGGCGGTGCATAAACAATTTTAATTATTTTAAAACATCTATAGCAATTGAGAAAAACTTTAAAATTATCTTTGAATTGTGAATAATTTCTTTAGTTAATGCTTTAAATTTGTTCTTAATTGTATTTATAGATCGCTTAAAAATCAATTTTAAAAAATGACGAAGAACAGATTATATTATATTGACATATACAAAATTATTTATAAATTTTTCAATGATAGTGGTGGATATTTTATTTGTTTGATCAGCAATATAAAGACTTCATTAATTTAATATCAAAAATGATATGTTTATCTATTTCTTTTTTATTTGTTCAAGTTTACATAAAGAAACTATATATTTTTGTAAATTTAACATAATATATTTGAATTACGTAATTAAGATAAACAAAATTTTTTTAAAGTTAATGGATATTCTGAAAGTAAATTCTTAGACAAAAAAAACTTTTTTTTAAAAATCTGAGTAGTAGTTTTTATTTTATACTCTTTCAATTGATCATGATCCTAGTTCTTTATTTTACGCGCAGTCATGTAGCTGTTTTTAGCTCAGTCGCGAAAGAGTTAGAAAGGTAGCATAGAGTAAGCAGACAGGATTGTACATGATGTTAGAGGGTGAAATACATTCTCTTAGTTAGGTCACCTAATTAATGTACGCCGACAAAGTTGTGATTGGAGTACACATTACATGAGCTCGTTCTCAACTTTCTTCACCATAAAATAGCTGGTATTGTAATTTATTCCGTCATCCGGCTAATTGCCATTTTGACGTCCTCGTAATAATTACAAGGTTAAAGAAATAAAACGAAAATAAAAATACGAAAAAACGTTTACAAAGATGTCCATTGAACCCGTATAAAATAAAACTAATTAAAATATATATAAATAAAAAAATAATAAAATAAAAAAACGGAAAAAGAAAAAAAAAAAATTATACGAAATAGTCACGAACATCTGCTATTAAATTTAATCTTCCTTTTTTAAAAATGTTTCTTGTTTCATTTATGTGTTTTTCTTGTTTATTTTGTTGCCTCAGCAAAAGTAATTTGTTTAAAAATAATCGTTTTACTTTTTCTTTAAACTTTTCTAGCGAATATTTCTTAGCAATGTTTTTGGTTTTTGATTTTAATTTTC